TATAGACATACTATCCCTAACTAACTAAAGCCAAACAATAATATTCTTTGCTAATATCAACTATTACAGTTGAGGGTTGGAACCTTTTATGTCACACAGCAAAATAAAACACTAAATCACCACAATACACCAAAACACTTTTACTTTTATACTGGACGCGCGTTTCGCTAACAATGTTAGCATCATCAGCAGATGATTATAAACTCAAAATGATTATAAACCTTTAGAAGAAAAAGTTTATAATCATCTGCTGATGATGCTAACATGGTTAGCAAAACGCGCGTCCAGTGTAAAAGTAAAAGTGTTTTGGTGTATTGTGGTGATTTAGTGTTTTATTTTGCTAATATCAACTAATACCAATATATGGCAACAGCGCCTTTCATAATGTATTTTCTGTGTAAATACTAGCACCTCAATAAAAAAAATAATGTATCCTTATCTTTATACGACTCCGCAAAAAATCAAAGATGCCGGCTTCTTTCATAGCATTGCTATCGACCGCTGTCGGGTTTCTCGGAAAGAAACCTACGTCGCCGGGCGACAACTAAAATCCAGTTAATATTGTATTATAATCGATCCTGACGAATAAATGAATTTCATAAATGAATGGTTTTTGCTGCCGAATTACTAGAATGCAATATTTCAAATCAGATGACGCATCTATTCGATAATTTTTATTCGAATAGTTTTCAACGAATGTTTTCTTACTAGCTATCGAATTATTCGAATGAATTGCAACTATCGAATGTTTCGATAGTATTCATTCGATAGTTCCTACTACTAAGAAATAGTAGATAAAATAGGACTTTAACCGCAAGGGTAGATTAAATGATACTTTAACAGCGAGGATAGGTTAAAAACTTTATTTCTTCTCGCACGTTTTTGAATTGTTTCCATTTTTGAAAATGTTTGTATTCTTTTTCATAAGTTATTCGGGATTTAAATTGAAGTAGGTTGGATATTACGTTTGTCGCCTCAGCCTGAATATCTGTTGGTAATTTACTTATTTCGTTTTGAGCCGCAATCGACACGAAAGAGAATTAAAAAATATTGACTCAAAACTGACAACTAAAGAGACAGCTTTATTTATTTGTCAAATTACGTAGAAACCGTACGCCAACCCAGCACAATATTTTTTCTACTCGTAATAAATTCCTTGAAATAATAATTTCTGAATATTTTTTAAAACGTAACTCGCTATGGAAAAAAAATATTTTTTATACAGGACGACAAAATTGCATTAGCGTGTCCCGAAATTAATTCATTCGCGATTCCATCGCTCGTGAATTAATCTTTTCGGTCGACGATAAAATACCATTTTATCGTCTTGTATAAAAAATAACTATTTTGATTTTTTTTTATTTTCTTGGGATTTAGGTTCGGGAAAACTCTGATTAAGTTTTTTCATTTGGATTTTCATTACATATCTTTATTTGGTTTTTAAAGGAAAAACAAACGTTTCGGCTAACATTATAGCCTTCATCAGTGTAGTGTCAAATCAAAAAAATAGTGTCGAACATAATCCAAAAATTAGATACAAAATATTCACAACACACACAACATAGTGTTTACTACAATTAATAAACTAATATAAACACATATTTTTTAAAATTATTATTCTTAACACTTAAACTATCTATATTGACTACGGCTGAAATCGTACTCAGTACAGATCTGTAGAATCATCCACCAAAGTTAGATACACTATTTTTTTGACTCCCTGTATAATGTGTAATTTAGCTTTTTATAATTTAGAGAATGACCCTAGATATTATGTAACGAGAATGAGAGGTTAAGAGAAACACTATGCTCCTATGTAATCCTGAATACTACGACGGAATAAAGGAGTTATGAAAAAAATACGTACTACATACTGATATCAGAAGTGGGATCTACTTAATAAAAGCACCACAGAGGTTTTAAAAAGTGCCAATATGCCATGTTGTGTGTGAATCCATAAGTGCTGAAATATAAAATAAAACCATAAACAAGCAAGAAATCCGGCAATGTCAGTGAATAAGGAGGATGATAGTAACTACAAGAAATTCGGCCGTTTAATTTAAAAAATACGTACTATATCCTGACATTAGAAGAGCATCTTTATTTTTCGTTTAGAGGCATCGTAACTTTTCCCTTGTTAAAATTTACTCTGTGATAATGTTTCCCCAATAAAAAACGCAAAGATATTTTTCTCAAACGAACATCTGAAACGATAAAAAGAAAATTATAGGGGAAAATCTAGGCGAATTTTCCTCTAAATAATTTTCCGCGCGCCCGATCTCCAAAGATCGCGTATTAACCGGGAATTTTCCATTTTCGAGTTCACCGAACACATCTACTTCTCATATTAAAATCGGAATTAAACGCGAACTAGCAGCGGCAAACGGGAAATTTCACTTCCGATCTCTCTGGATTTTCCACCGGTGGCATTTTAATTGAAACAACAAATTGTTTTGTTGATTATTAAAATTTTATTTACTATTTTCAATACTTAGTTCTATTTCAATCATAGTTTTTGGAGCTATACAGAGAACTAACTCTTAAATAAGTGCAAATATTTTTGGAGGTAGTATATTTTTGGAGCTCAGCAACACTATGAGGTTTGTTCGCGAAAAAAATAGAAACAAAATTGCCATTGGATAGGTTAGGTTAGGTTAGACTCCTCTATTCCGGTCCTCTATTAAATTTGTGCTCCGAAACACAGTCTGGAAGAATAAATAATACCTACTTAGAGAGATCATGAAACAATTTTGTTTACATAAAAAAAAATCTCTAAAATTAAAATGCAAATAATTATAATAAATGGAGATTGTGTTTTCTAAGAGAGCTGGCATTATATTTACAGAAACTACTTATAAACATACTTATTATAATATACTTACCCTTAAATTATAAAAAAACACTAATCACCCACGCACTGAGACTCCCATCTGTTCCAAAAAACTGCTTAGATTAAAATTTTCTTCGTCGTTCGTTGTTTTTTCTAACTACGTCGATTACTTACATACATCAGCTACACAAGGAGTCACGTGACGTGACCTCATTTTTTACTAAATATATTATGGTAAATTCACACAAGTTTTGTGCATATGTCTAGAGACTTAAATTTAATTTTTACTCACAAAACTCATTCTGAAAATAATATCGATTAGTAATAATGATCTAATATTAATAAACTGTTTTGCAAAATTATATTTTTTTGTGAAACTATGCAAAAATATCTTATTTTTACAAGTTTCTTTTTAAAACCCCCTGTATTCTATCAAATTATTCACTAATAATAATTATTGATTAACTATAATTGTATATATAATATTTTTATTTTCATTGAACAGCCCAAGTAGCATTTTCACGACTTGCGACCACATGTTTACTAAACACAACGTTGGATTAGTTACAAAAAATAGTTAGCTCCGTACCTTAGGTATTAAAATAAATTTAAACGTTTTTATAACTTTGTGCCGACGTTGGACTAGTACTACAGCAAAGTAGAAGCTTCTGCCACGTCGAATAAACGTTGTCTTGTAACCTTTTTTGCTTAAGTGATCTTTAGGTGATTCGGACAACGTAGTTACAACGTTGGACAATATAGAGTTTTCCGACGTCAGTTTCAGGGCCTATTCCAACGTTATGCAAACGTCGTCTGTTTTACTAATTCCAACGTTGTTTAGATTTCCTTATTCTTACGTTGGTAGGACGTCGAGTCACTACCTTTTTGCAACTGTATTGAACCATAACCTTAAATCTTAAATTTTCACTTCATTGTTCTGTTCAGTCAGACAGTTCAGTGCTGTTTTTGTTTTTATAAAAAAAAACTTAATTAAAATGGGACATAAGAAAGGTACATATAAAACTAAATTTAAATATACATCGACATATATTACCGATGTTTATCCACTCCCTCGTTTATTTAGATTATAGAGGGCGGCACAAGCTAGACTCTAGGATGACTAAATTAGGCAATCTTGCGACTAGTATACTACCTGTTAAGGCCGAACTGCGACTTTATTAGTCCAGTATGCGACTACTCGAACTACTCCATCTTAATCTCCAAAACAACAAAGTGAAAGCCGCCATGTTGTTAAATAAGAAAATGTTTCGTTCCTAAAATAGCAATGCTTCCTGCTTTTTGAATACACTAACTTGAAATATTTGACTCTAAAGCACACGACGGCGAATAAATTATTCTCATTTTACTAAAAAAAATTCAAGAAAATTTTTAAAACTTCTTTAATTTTAAGGCCCATTAGTATTTTTTAAAGTAGAAACAATACATTTATCAATAAAGATGTTTGCGTTTAACTTTTTTGCCTTGGGTAACGAGTTACAGAGTCGGCTAAAGTGTTTCAATAATTATGATCTTCAAACATCCTCCATACTTAAATACTTTTGTTTTGTTTTCCTTTACTGCCATCTGACATATTTCTCTAACTAAATCATAAAAATAATATTTTTACTATAATTATCCCAACTTAGGATAAAACGCGACTTAGACGCCATATTAGTTTTGTATTTCTGTGAATTAGGATTTTAAACAACGTTGCAGTTTGTACTAAATTAGGCTTCTAGCCAAATGTCGGTATCTAACGTCGTTTTGACCCAAAAATTATTCTCCAAACTAGTGCAGACTAGGGTTGGCACGACGTTGTGCAGACGTTGCGCCCCGACGTTTGGTCGCGTGACACAACGTTGTCCCGACGTCAAAATGCTGCTTGGGAGGTTAAGTAGAGTAGCTATAGCTAGACTTTGTCTGAAGAAGGAGTATTATGTATTTTTGTTATTTTTCCTTAAATAAAGCAATTTATTATTATTATTATTATAAAAATACTCTAATGGTCCATATTTTTTTTTTTTTTGTAAAACTGCTTATATTTTTTTCAGTGTAGGGTGTGAAAAACACCCGGTGTATTTCTATTCAGCGGAAAATCTAATATTTAATTTCAAGTTTTTGCCATAATTCTGCAATATACGATATACAATTTCTTTTTCGCTTGTTCCAGGTACATCCGACGCCGACCCATGTCCCAGCATAGCAGCTCTGAGACAAGGCAGTGTTGCCATCAGTTCAGACCAGTTGGCGCCGTGCGATAGGCTGCTGAGCGTTAACGGGATCACTACAGCGCGCATGCGCCACGACGACGTTGCCAGCTTGCTGGACAACATCGACGGCAACGCCGTGATGGAAGTGGAATACTCTCTACCCAGTTATGGTAAGCCTTGTCTTTCGGAAATTTTCAAAAATAATAATTTTGTCAAAAAAGCTGAAAAATTTAGGAACTTACCGAGTGGTTAACTTTAACCGTGAATAACTTTTGAAGGAGTAGGTTTATCGAAAAATTAAAAAAGGCATTTTTTGTAGAGCGTTCAATTCTGTACAAGAATGTGTGATTGTTATGGCTACGAGAGAACAAGATCGAGAGAATAATTTGCAAAAAGTGGCAAATTCCCATGTAATTTAAATAGGAAATTAATCGTCTTTGGGGCAAGGTTTATTGTGAATATTAAGGGTTTACTGTTATTTTTTTAGACAATAAACTAAAAATTTAGAGGGCGTCGTGAAAGAAATTATCAACTTTGTAAAATACGGACACCCTAATCAGTATGGAAAATTATGCAGCTGAGGGTATCTATACTAATATATAAAATCCTTAAGTGACTGACATACTGATTAATCACGATCCTGCTCAAACCATTCAACGTAAGAAGCTCAATTTTGGCATACAGATTGATTCTAGGGTGTAGAGGTTCGATAAGAAGGGATTTTTCGAAATTCCAGTTCCAAGAGGGTGAAACCACCCCTCAAATATTACAATACTTTTTATTTAAAAAACGGTCAAGTTTCCGAAAAAACGCCAAAACACGTATATTTTATTTTGTTTTTTTACATATTTTAAGATTTTTTAAAAATGTATACAGGGTGTTTCGAAAAATCTGGTCATTGATTAATCACGATCCTGCTTAAAGCGCTTGACGTGAAAAGCTGATTTTTGAAAAACAGGTTGACTTTATGGTGTAAAGGTTCGATAAGAATGGATTTTTCCAAACTCGAATTCTAAGGGGGTGAAACTATCCCTCAAATATTAAAATATTTTTTATTTAAAAACCGGTGAGTTTTTCGGAAAAACTCTTAAACACGTATATTTTATTTTGTTGTGTTACATATTTTAATTTTTTTATAAATTTATACAGGGTGTTTCATAAAATATGACCATTGAGTAATCACGATTCTGTTTAAACTGCTTGATGTTTAAAGCTGATTTTTGGCAAAAGTTTGTTATTTAAAAAACGGTTAGTCTTTCGGGAAAACGGTTGGACAAGCATAATTTATTTGTTTTTTTTTACATATTTTGATTTTTTTTAAAAAAATCATTCAAGGTGTTCCAAAAAGTTGGGTAATTTCTTAACCACGATTCTGCTTAAACTGCTTGACGTAAAAAGCTTATTTTTGGCAAACGGATTTTTCGAAAGTCAAATTCCAACCTACCCCTCAAATATTACCAAGTTATAATACTATCGCCATATTGTTTTTTCTCATGCTGACATAAATGTGAGAAAATTTTATCCAGTTTGTATGTTAATGGAAATTCTTGCTTTGCTTTATCATCACCATTACAAATGATTAATTCGACGCGAACGAAGTCGCTGGTACACGCTAGTTAACTATATAAGCTGTAGTAATAGAATCTATTCATCAAATTGAGGTTTCTCTCTATAATATCATCGTATAATTCCTTGTTTACGACTTAACAACCAACTCACATAATTACCCCTGTAGATATCGATACAACTACGCCTAGCTCCCTTGATTTCCATCCTAACCTGCATTCGTTAACGAAGCTAGATCAAAGGTCGAGGAAATTATGAAATTTCCAGCGATATTGCTCTAATTATGGATCGCTGGCGTTCGTTCTCTATGTGAGCAAAGTCAGTCTTTTGGACGGAATTGAAGCCAAACGATTTAAGGTTCTACCTGGATCTGGGCGGTCTGGCAGATAAATAATTAGCGGCATTTAATGGCTGAAAGCGGCAGGGAAATACTTGGGAAATTATTAGTCGGGAAACTATTTATATTTTGGTGAAATTCGGTTCAGCGATTGCGGAGAGTTCAGGTTCGGAGGAATATCTAGCAACGGGGAAAGTGGCTGTTATAACTGCAACGTTCTGCGGGGAATATTGCTACTTACAAACACTTTGAACTGAAAGAATCTGTTTAATTAAATAAGATTGGTCATTTATAAAATATTTATTTATATTTTAAGTGTTTTGTTTTAATATATTATTAAACGTTTTGGTTTAGTGTATTCTCCTTTTCAAAAATTCAAAGCAGTGTTAACGTCTTCTTTTTGCTGTTAAGGCTCATGTAGACTGAGCCTACCACGCGTATCATTCTTTACATTATACAGGGTAAGTCGTAAACAAGGGCAAATATTTTTAGGTGTAGTACATTTCGACAACAGAAACATATCCTATAATGTTTCTTTTTTCGCAATTATGAATTATTTGAAAAAAATGTTGGTAATGTTTTTAGTTAAAAATCATAATAGGTATCTTGATGATATGACAACATAGGTGTTGTAGATTACAAGGAAACCCAGAAATGATCGAGTGGGTTCTCAAATTTTAAGAAAAAAAAGTATATGACATAAATTAGGATTGATTGACGTATTCATCAATTGTTTTTGGTCACTTCCTGTTTCACAGGTAATGACTACAACTTTCGATAATGAAACTCTAAATAGAATAACATATCATATGTCAATTTTTGACATTTTCGCATATGGTCTATTTGAAATTGTAACATGCGGTTCATAACGACAATTTGACTCAAACAAACAAACAACGCTTTATTGTACAAAAAGCCAAAACAGCTTCATCGACAAAGCACTCACAAACAACAAAATCACAAAAAAAATACAAACAACAAAAAATACACAATAGAAATAATACAATTCAAAAAAATTTAAGTCTTTAAAATTACAAAAAGAATATACACGGACAATTTTAGAACAGTACGCAGTAAATAGATATAATTTTAGAGTTATAAAATATTAAATACTTGACCTTTGACCAGTGTGTAAGATGATCAAAATTTTTAAATTCAAAATTGTTCATAATTAAACATCAACAAAAATATAGGGCTCTCTCCAGTAGGTATGATTTTAGAGCTTTGCGAAATGCGGGAAAGAATGAAAGCGACTTGATATTCAAAGGCAGATGATTGTACATTTTTTTGGCATTGTACAGTATTGAACCTTTAACTAGTTCTGAGCTCGGGGTTGGCAGATAAAGATCGTGCTCCGCATTCCTAAGTGGATAGTTATGAGATGGCCTTTCGGGGAATAGCAGATATGTGCTTGCGGATTAAACAAACGGATTTAAAAATGAATAAAGAAGGAAGAGTCAGTATTTTGAAAATTTAAAGAAATTCTGGCAGTGATTTCTACTGTTCAGTCCCAATAAATAACGAACTGCTCTCTTTTGAAGTCTGAAAATACAATCAAATTTTGTTGCGCAGCAAGTACCCCAGAATGGAAGGGCATAACGAAAATGTGACTCAAAAAGGGCATAGTAGGCTATTCTAGAGGTTGAGAAGTTAAGTTCCTTAGAAACTGATCTTAGCGCAAAACAGGCAGCGCTTAGTTTCTTTGATAGAGCTTCGATGTGAAAGTCCGATTTTAACGAGTTGTCTACAACAAGTCCTAAGAATTTCACAGAGTCCACGACGTCAATAGTGGTGTTATTAAGTACAAAAGGTTGTATAGTACTTTTATATGACAAAACTTTAGTTTTTGATAGGTTGAGGCATAGGAGATTAGAATCGCACGAAGATTTAATGGTGCGTAAGTCACAGGATATAGTATCATATAGTGTCGTAACATCTGGGCCGCTCCAAGGGAAACTAGTATCGTCCGCAAAGAGGCAGATTTTACCGCTAATGTCTAGATTTGCAATGTCGTTGATAAACACCAGCAACAAAATAGGGCCAAGTACTGAACCCTGAGGGACACCACATTCTATAGGCTTACAAGAAGACATAGACGTATCAATCCTCACAAGCTGCCTTCTGTTGCCAATATATGACTTAAGCCATTCGAGCGGCACTCCCCTGAAACCATAGTATTGCAATTTGTTAATTAAGATATTATGATTTACACAATCGAAAGCCTTAGAGAAATCACAGAAAATTGTAGCTGTAGAGTGATGGTTATTTAGGCTAGAGTATACATTATTAAAAAGGTCGAACATAGCATCATTTGTGCAACTGTTACTTAGAAATCCAAATTGATGGGTAGTAAGTATTTTATATTTAAGGAGAAAAGATAGAAACCTTTTTTTAACCAATCTTTCAATGATCTTAGATAATGTGGGCAGGAGTGCAACTGGGCGATAGTTCGAAGCTTCATCTTTATCACCTCCTTTATACAGAGGAATAATTATTGCTGTCATAAGGCAGTTTGGAAAAACTCCTTTTTGGAATGACTCGTTAATTAAAGTAGTAAGATAATTTAATGTGCATTCAGGAAGTTCAGAGAACATTTTGAGAGTAAGCCCATCAGTCCCAGATGAGGATTTGTTTTTAATATTATTAATTGTACTACGGAGCTCATCTAATGCTACGGGCGTGAAGAAGAAACTGTGTAAATTCTCATTTGCTTTAGGGAGATATGAAAGTGAATCATGGGAAGGAGTTATGGTGTTCACTAAATTTTTTAGCCACATTAACAAAGTAAGTGTTTAAATCTTCAGAATCTCGAAATACCAAGTGTGTAGTACTGAATTATTCGTAACAAAATACCTTTTCCAAATATGCTAATGAGCCACCCTTATTTCATTTAAAAAAATTGAGATATGATTAAAAATACGACTTGAACATGTTTTAACCGGCCAGGACAATACACTAAATACATTAGACGACCAAATGTATTTTTCCAAGGCTCCTTGATTAAAAATTGGTGTTTTTAACACATCCATGGCACTCTACATTGAAATTTGAAATGCGATTTTTAAGTGAAAATATCAAAAGTTGACATATGATTATGTCATTCTGTTCAGAATGTCATTTTCTATCGAATAAAGTGAAAATATACCGTCATTTAAAAATCAAAAGTTGTAGTCATTTCCGGTGAAACGGGAAGTGACCAAAATCAATTGAATGCGTCAATCAATCCTAATTTATGTCATATAATAATATACCAAATCTCGATTTTTTATCAGAAAAAATAAAAAAGTTATAGGGGTGAACCACTTTTGAGACGCACCCGGTATATAAAAAAGTTAGAGAATTTTACGCAGAATTTAAAAATAAAATAAAAATAGGGTGCTGCATTAAAAAAAAAACATATATTTAATAACCTAACCTCACACTTTTTAAAGCACTCTATAATAATTTTAAAATATGTATCTTAACTTTTTCTATAACTTTTATATTTAACATTTTTTTGTAAACCTTGAAACGATTGAGATAATGGACTAAATTACTCTATCGTTGACTCGCCCTGTACCTAACTGACCTAAAAAATTATGTTGTGCTAATGTAAATCTCCCTTTCTCCAAATGAAAAAGAACAACAACCTTCGGACAAAGTACCTGTTTTATTTTTAAGTCCATTCCGCACGTGTCCAGGCCCTTTTTTCCCATTTTCCATTATCCATTTCCATTCCCCTCCACGATATTTCTTTGTCCCAATATTTAACGAAGCGTGCCAGGAAAAAAACAAGGAAAAAAATTAAAATTAAAAACCGCCACCGGTTAACGAAAACCGTGCGGGGTTTTATAATAAAAAAAGGAACAAATTACTTTCTTCCCTCTTTACCCCACCGACCGCAAGCCACTGCTCTCTTTTTATATTAATTAGGCACTTTTTAATTACAGGGCGTCGTCTTTTGTTTTTTTTTCTTCGTTCCAATAACTTTTTTTTGTGTGGTTATGGTATTTGTGATCTTTTGTGCGCTTTTTTGATCTTGAGGTTTTTACTCGTTATAATATTGCTTTTTTGGTAATATTTTTGTAAAAAGGGTAAATATTCTCGTAAAGCAATTAATACACACACCGGAAAAATCTAGGGATATCATTTTATTAAAGTCAAAAATAAATGTTTTGAAAAACATCCACATATTTGTAGGCCGATTCTTTCTACTTCGATTGAAACGAAGTAGTCACACTAGTTATTTCTAAATCTGGGATATTTCCAGAAGTGTTTGTGCATTTTTTGTCAAATGTATAAAAAGCACCTAGCATCAATTGTTCGAATTTAACCTGTACTGGCTATGTTTTTATGATAACTGGCCAAAATTCATTCAAATAACTCTGTTTAGTATTAAACGACATTATGGAGCGTAGACATCTTAACAGAGACGAAATGCTAAGGGCCATGGGTATGCTCGAAGCTGGAATGCGCCAAATCGACGTAGCTAGCGCATTAAATACAACGCAAAGTGTAATATGTAAGAAGTGGTAATATGTAAGCTACCGTGAAAGTGGTGATGTTGCTGAAAGGCACACAGGGCGACATCGCATTTACCCCTCAGCAAGATCATTTTTTACAATTAAATGCTCGACGCCGACCGACTCTTACAGCTCCAGAGCTTAGAATAGTTCTCCAGGAAACACATAATGTAACCGTTAGTCCTGACACTATTCGCAATAGATTAAGAGAGGTCAACTTAAGAAGCAGGCGCCCCTGGAGAGCTTAACCCATAACGAGAGGAAATCGAGAGGTACGATATTTGTGGGCTCAAGATCATGTTCAGTGGTCGAATGAACAATGGACCAATGTTCTCTTCACGAATGAGTCACGCTTTGGAATTCATCCGGATTCGAGAACGCTTAGGGTATGGAGAGAACCGGGAAATTTTATTCGGTTGGATCATGTTCAGGAAGTGCATCTGGGGAGGAGTCCAGGAGGATGGTCTGGGGAGGAGTCCAGTTAGGCCGAAAAACCGATCTCGTTTTTTTGAAAGGTTTCTAACAGGAATCACATATCGTGATTTAATTCTTTTTTTTTGATTTTATGAAAAGCACTGTTCATTAAAATATTATATCCTATGTTATAGAGCTTGTTTCTCTCCACAATTTCCTGTCTCACAATGTACCGTTTGTGTCCAGGAAGAGTTCATAGTTTCATAGTTGTCGATTTTCGAAAGAAATCAGTACATCCATATTATTTCGTATATTTTTCATTTTATTGATTTTATGGAAAGCACTGTTCATTAAAATGTTGTATCCTATGTTATAGGGCTTGTTTCTCTCTACAATTTTCTGTCTCACAATGTACCGTTTGTGTATAGGAAGAGTTCATAGTTTCATATTTGTCGATGTTCGAAAGAAATCAGTACATGTATATTATTTATTTTGAACCTGACAGAACTTTGTCCATTAAACAATGCATAAACAATGCCTTAGAAACCGATTACCAGAACATTTTAAAAAATGTTTAAGAATAAATAATAATAATAGCATGAAAATCTCAAATTATCCGCTTTCACAAAAGATCTTGTATGAAATTCATTGCGAAAAGAGTGTTTTAAGCTCTTGACGCATTGTCCAGACAATTTTGCGTCCCGTGCTTAAAACACATTCATTTCGCAACTTGTTACATAAATAGCTTTTTTTCTCTTCCAAACAAAAACTTTCAATAACAAATAACACTGACAGTCCCCTTTTATCTGTTTCAGCGTCCCAAAACTCCCTCTGCGTCACTTCCAAGGTGACCGATGTAACTATAGAACGGGTGGACGGGTCCCTGGGGATCACCCTGAGGGGTGGCTACGTTCCCGAGCATCCCCACTTAAGCCGGCCCTTGATCATCACCCACGTCAGGCCTCACGGGCCCGCTTACAGGTAGGAGCATCCAGGAATATGTCTCTTTTAAATCATTATGAGAGCTTAGTTGATATCAAGAACAAGAATTATAAGATTTGACATCATAATAAATTATTCAATATATTAAATAAAAGTATATTGTTTTATTAGGAGTAAAAATAATATTTTTTTGTTGCGAGGCTGTACGTTTGATTGTACGACATTACTGGCGCGATAGAAAAAGTCATAAAAAATGTCTATACCTATATGTGGCGGATTCATCTCTCCAAAAAAATCCCCTATGGGTATTTCGCCACTGCGCAGGAAGAAAATTCTGCTTGTTAGAAGTTATGTTTACAGTTATACAAATTTGCCTGACAACGAAAAAAAATGCTTAACGTTTCGGAAAGTCTATCTCTTTCCGTCGTCGGAAGCAAAAAATACAAAGAATAAAGAAAAAAAACTATTTAAAATATTTAAATTCAAACTATTATGAGAACACTTTAGTTTTTTTATAAGCAGATACGTCTACAAGAAAACGTGGACGTTCTGTTAAAATTACATTATATCAAATTAAACTTTAAAATTAACAATTACTACCTGATAACAATTACTTAATAAGGTAAAACCAAAAAGCCCCAAACTTTCTGTATGATTATTTTTAAATTTTACATATATTATGTTTATTTGTGTTATGTTCTTTAAAACATAATTTTTTTTATGTTTTTTATTTGTTTATTTTTGTTATGTTCTTTGATTTTAAGTTGTTTTATTATGTTCTTTGTTTTTATCTTTTTTTTTACTCTGATCCCAAGTAGCAAATTTTATTTTATAAAGGCTGTATAAACAGCTATGTGATAATTTGTATAGGATACCTCAATTCATATAACGTGCTATATGACCGTAATATGACAGCTTTACAACCAAAAAAGGCCCATTTTTATACAACCGTTTAGTAGTATTGAAGTTCTATAAAAAGGGTATACAACTCTTATGCAACTATTTTACACAGCGTTATATGACTATTATAAAACTAGTTTTATTGTGTATTACGTGGTCACATCTAAGAAACAGAACAATAAAAACATTTGATCGTTTAGCGAGGTACAAGAGTATTTTATTTTTTACCGAAGAATATTAGGAGCAAATTATATTTTAAGCGTGTCGTAAAATGAATCTAGAGGATGTGGACTGTTAAAAAGGAGACTACTCGACAATGAAAATAGCGGGTAGAGCCAGAAGGTACAACAAATATGTAATATAAAATATCATTAATTGGGTTTGAAAAGTAGTGACAATTTTTGTTGCGCCGAAAATTTTACTGGTAGATTATAGGTATGTATTTGGCAAAAAATTAAAGCGCTTTAATTTCGATTAAGGTTTACATATAAATTTAAACAATAAAATAAAATAAAATTTTCAAAAATTCTTGTTTTTAATTTAATTAAACACTTTATTACTGTATGTGTGAATCTTATAACAAAATAGTTCTCAAAAATAACATTTTACAATTTATTTTGATGTTTTTAATTTTGCTGCATATAATGGCGGCCATAGGCCATACAAAAATTCTGCCTTAAACATGGCGAATTTTAATGCAACCATTTTATTATAAATGAATCCCTTAAATAAGCCTTTGTTGTAAAATAAAACGGTATAGGATAAATATCTATCTTTACGCAGAATTTCCAGGCACTATAGAACTATTTTGGACATATTGAGATTTGTGACTAATAGATGTTGCCAAATCTCATTTGATTAGTATTTAAACTAACAAACATGATCAGATTTTCATGGATTCGGCAACCTAAGGTCTTGGAAAAATAACAATAAAACAATACAAACATTACTACAGTAAAACTTTTACATCAACGTGGCAACAATGCTTTTAAGAAGCCAGACAACCCGAGAGATTTTGGCTTTTGAAAACCCAGTGAATTCTCGGGATTATTTGCCGTAATTTCGAGGAGTTTTTTTCTTACATGCTCTTTATAACTACCACTGCGTTTGTTAACTTTTTTCCAACTTTATCCAGAATTCATAATAGCTGTGATTGATTATACTCGTACGTATATATTACTTTTGCAACAACAACAATAACAAAATAAATAACTAGGTATACCATTTAATTTAAAATGAGGTTATATTATACATTACCAGTTTTATAATGCAGATATTACAGCGAATTTATTTTGTTAATCACAATTTTATCATATAAGGCTATATAACTGGTGTTGTATACAGCACCGTAGTTTAACGCAATAAAACATTCTATCATACAACGTAATACAACTTTAATAAGACAAGTTTAAGTAACTATTATATGATCTTGTGACTACTAGTTATATGAATATTATAGAACTCTTACATGGTGGGTACAAGAGTCTAATAAAATAATATGTTTGTTATCATATAGCATTGTCTTATTAAGTGTTATATCATACTAAAAGAAATTATCGTTTAATGCGTTATAGGTTACGTTGTAAAAACCACTAGAAAATAGTTTAATATGACAACTTTTATTAAAAAACAGAATGGTCGAAACCAAACGCTTAATAAAATCAAGCAGTCCTTAAGACAGCGCTATTCGACTGTTATAAAATAATTCAATCCTTTTAGAATTTCTTTTTGCTACTTGGGATGGGTGTAACTTAGTTTTGCATATTTTCTTGGATAATATTTCAAAATTATTCACTTTAAATGTTAAAATCAACTAAGCTTAGAAAATGCCTTATCGATTTCGGCGCTCGTACGTGTACAACACGAACTTTTACACATCGACGTACACACAATGGCGTTTTTTACTTGTTGTTGTGGCAACTTTAAAAGTTTTTAAATTAAAGCCGACCCTGGGAAATAAAATTAGCAAAAGTTGTCGGCGATGCGAGTTTTCTACCGCAAGTTTATATTAAATTTCGGGTTGAATAGAGAGAACTAAATCCCAATAGGTTCCATAGAGTAATTTGCGGTGTAAATAACGCTATACAATATTAAACAGATACAGTGTACGTTGTAACACTTTGCAACTAGGAATATAATTTTATTACAAACTTTTGGCGAGCTATATACAATATTTTAAAGTTTAGTTTTAATCATGTCCGTGTAGTGTGATATGAGGTGTCGTGGTGGCTACATTGTATGCATTTCTATGATTATAAGCGAACTCGTACGAATAAATCCTTACGAATTCATAGGACCAGTTCATAGTCGTTATACCGGGTACGTCTCAAAAGTGGCTCACCCCTATAATTTTTAAGTATATAACATAAATTATAATTGATGTGTATTTCTTCCTGTTTTATCGGAAATGCCTACAATTTTTGATTTTTAAATGGCACCCTCGGTCTTTTTTTTACTTTATTCGATAGAAAATGACACTCTGAATAGAATCACATATCATATGTCAACTTTTGACATTTTCGCTTAAAACAAAATTGTATTTTAAATTTCAATCTAGAGTGCCATGGTTAAAAACACTAATTTTTAATCAAGGAGCCTTGGAAAAATAGATTTGATCGTCTAATGTATTTAGTGTCTTGTCCTGACCGGTTAAAAGATGCCCAAATCTTATTTTCAATCATATCTCAATTTTTTCAAATGAAACAAAGGTGGCTCATTAGCATAATTGGAAAAACATTTTTTTACGAATAATTTGGTACAGCTGGTTCCAAAAAAAATGAATACGACTCTTTACACATTTTTTTCGCACATTTGGGCAGTGTATATTTATGTGTCAAGTATTTTGACATTTTAAGTTTATTGTGACATTGTATAAAACATGTTACCTTCATAGAAATTAGTTGTATTAAAATTTACCCATTATACATTTTACTCAGATAAGAATCAGTGGCCTTGATATGGATTAGAGCCAGTCAACATCTTGGTCACTCCCAAATTGAGCTGGCGGTTGCCTTGTAGCAGAGCCATCATAAAAAAAAAAAAGAAGAAGAACTTTGCTTTTAACAAAGTGGTAGATAAATTTTTCAGAACGTCAGCATGACATGAGTAGAGAAATGGGGGATTGGTATCATAGAATATACTGCACGAAATAATAAAAATATGTTTTAAATCGTATTCAATTTTATTGGAACCAGCTGTACCACACACTTAATATTTCGAGTCAAATTGTCGTTATGAATCGCATGTGGCAATTTCAAATAAACCCTTTGAATAAGAAGACTAAGGAAGGAGCATAATGCTATCCATGTATTCATGCATGGTGGGCGGAAAAAGCACTCTAGGGTGGGGATCCTTGACAGTTCTGTTTGACGATTCATTTGACACATTTGAATTTGATTTGAAATTTTGTGGATTTGTCAGTCTTTACGGGGCTTATTTAATGTTATTTATTATTTATTCTACTACTGATAGTTGTATAAAGGTAGTAAATCTAGATGGAAATTGTGGCAGAACTTAAATTAACAGTGACACTATCGCGATTTATTGAAAAAGATTCTAAAATAGTTGGTTGTGTAGCGTGCGGTAGATCTCGGCAAAAATTGAGTGAAATAATGGAACAACTTTTCGCTCTAGTTAGTGACTATATAATATACATACGTGTAGTAAACCGATCATTTATGAAATTCACTTAAATTAACTAAATTATATATTTTTCCTGCATTTTGGCTTTTATTTATTACTTGTCAAAGATTAGATGTCAAAGAATTTAGATACGTTAATTTGACTTACCTGCTTCAGTAGCGTATCGGATGTTTGTGTTAATAAATACTTATTATAACTTATCTATTTTTATTTGAATTATATATTTTTATAACAATTTTAATAACTACCAACATTTATTCACAACGTAAAATAAAACAACAAATTATTTTGTCTACCCCACATCTACCCTACATCATAGTTTTACATTTTTTAAATAAAATTAGAACGACACTGATAAACCGGAATTTAAGTCGGCCATATTTGAGGCCCATCGCGGTGTACCTAAGATTTTTGATATGCTCCTTCCTTAGTCTTCTTATTCAAAGAATAAACCATATTCGGAAATGTCAAAATTGAGTAATGATATGTCATTGTATTCAGAGTGTCATTTTCTATCGAATAAAGTAAGAAAATACCGAAGGTGCCATATAAAAATGCAAAGTTGTAGTAATTTCCCTTGAAACAGGAAGTGACGAAAATAATTGAATACGTCAATCAATCCTAATTTATGTCATATACCAACATACCAAATCTCAATTTTTTATCTGAAAAAATAAACACACCCGGTATACCGATGAGTGAGTCTTAAATAAGTAGAAATATTTTTATGGGTAGTATATTTCGATCTCAGCAACACTATGAGGTTTTTTTCGTGAAGAAAAAATAAAATTTTGTTTTTTTTATCTGAAAAAATATTTGAAATTGTAACATGCGGTTCATAATGACAATTTGACTTGAAGTGCGCGGTACCAAATTATTCGTAAAAAATGCTTTTTCCAAAATACATATAAACAGTTTATTAAAAAAAATCAAAATTTCTTTTAAATTAATAAATTTTATTTAAATAATTTATTTATTTGTCAATTTTTCTCATACTTCTTTTTGTATTAAAAAGCAGCCAATAAATTTTAATTTTCTTTAATTGTTGCCGTTGCCCCGGAAAATTCCTCACGAGGTTTCCCCCGGTGTGTTTTCCGGGTTTTCTTCTTGTTGTAAAGTCGGGCACGCCGCGCCGGCCGCGCCGACACAAAGAAAAACACAACAAGAAAAAGTCGGTTCGGAACGAGAAAAGTTTTTCCAATATACCCTTTATTAGTCTAGTCAAACACACACAAAACTTCCATGAATTCGCAGTTAATGTAGTTGTCGACTTTTAGAAAAGAACAATAAAGCAAATAGAATAAAAGGAGGTCAGTTTAAGTATAGTTTTATTCGTGGCATTCGTATGGTTTCTTAGTTCCTTTTTTTACCAACGAGAATAGAATTCTTCACGAAAAAAAGTGTGTGCACTATGTGCGCATATTTAACGTGAAACTTCTTACTAACAGCTATTAAATTGAAGTGTTTAAAGGACATGTTTGAAAAAGTGACATAATATAATGCTGTTTTAATATAAATATTATTTTCAATTTATTTCTGTAATCTGTACATTTTGTGTTTCCTCAATAGCCTGCAAATTTTGTGGAATACCACCCAAAATACACACTTTTATGCAAGTGTGTTTACACTTTTTTTGTAAATTTACAACTTATCGGTAAATGTACAACTTTTCTGTAAATTTACAATTTTTCTGTAAATTTACATGTTTTCTGTAAATTTACACTTTTTTGTAAATTTACAACTTTTCTGTAAATTTACAATTTTTCTGTAAATTTACATGTTTTCTGTAAATTTACACTTTTTTGTAAATTTACAACTTTTCTGTAAATTTACAACTTTTCTGTAAATTTACAATTTTTCTGTAAATTTACACTTTTTCTGTAATTATTCACCTTTTCTGTAAATTTACACTTTTCCTATATATTTACACTTTTTCTAACAAATCCACCGTCTCTACGTAAAAGAGCATCCAAAAACTACGACAGCGTATAGAGCTGCCATGTCGATATTGAAAATATGCTTTACAGAAAAACTGTAAATTTACAATATGTAAGTTTACCAAAAAAGTATAAATTTACAGAGAAATTCTAAATTTACAGTAAAAGAGCAAATTTGAAAAAAAAGTGTAAAATTACGGAGAAAGTGTAAGTTTACAGAAGAACAGTAAATTTGCAGAAAAACATGTATAAAGTGTAAATTTTGCTAAAAATATTTAAATAGTTATCATGGCAGCTCTACGCTTTTATAATTTCTTGTGTTGTATCTAAGTGTAAATTTGAAGAAAAATAGGTAATTTACGAAAAAATTTTAAGTTTACAGAAAAATATAAATTTACACTTTTTCTGTGAATTTACACTTTTTCTATAAATATCTACCTTAGAGTGGCTACACTGCTAATAAATACACTGTCTCTACGCAAAAAAGCGTCCAGAAACAACGAAAGAGTATGTTCATTAAAATTTACAGAAAAATTGTAAATTTACAAAATGTAAGTTTACCGAAAAAGTATAAATATACAGAAAAAGTCTAAATTTGCAGTAAAAGTGTATATTCAAAATAGAAAGTGTAAATTTACGAAAAAAAGTGTAAGTTTACAGAAAAACAGTAACTTTACCAAAAAAAGCTTAAGTTTTACTAAAAATATTTTCCAATGTTAGTATGGCAGCTCTACGTTTTTATTCCTTGTGTTGTATTTCTATTATTTTTGGACTACGGACCAAACAGAACGTTCAGAGTTTTATTTTGTCAAAAATAACGTTAAAAACAACAATACAAGACTTTTATTTACTATTTTGCCCTATAACATCCTTCTTTGTGACACTCAAACCTCTTACGAGATACACTCTTCATAATTAAGCGACACAGAAATTACCAAAAGTAACCTAGCGCTTATTTATATACCTGGTTTGTCTATTTAATATTATTTGTATAAAATTACATATCAGTAATATTAAATAGACAAACGTACGTCGTAAGTTAAACATATACAGTTTGTTTTTGTCAGAAATAATGTTAAAAACAACAACACAGAACTACTATTTATTATTTTGCCCTATTATATTGTCCTTTGTGACCCTTAAGCTTGTATAAGTCCCGTTATCTAGTTCTTACACGACCCCTAACGATGACACGTAGGCCTTGTTTTCATGCTTAAAACTGATGACCCGTAATTACACTAATTATTGCGGCCTTCTTGTATTGTCCCCTTTTGTGGCATCTTCTTACTCCTAATGGCGTAGAGATAGAGATGTAATGATGGTGCTGACCCTCTCCAAACAAAAAAAATAGTCAACAAATGAGTATAACTTTTTTATAATTGTTATTTTTCTTGATGAAACTTAACATAATTTTAATTTAAAAAATACACTACTAGAAGATCTAATAAATTCTAGAACATCTGGAAGATTATGAAAATTTTAAGAACAATAGTAGATATTAGTATTACATACTAATATCTAAAAAATTACTGGTTACAGTAGTCTTTCATTCATTTTTTTTTACAGAAGTGGACTAATAAGAGTTGGTGACAGACTGTTGAAAGTAGATCGTCACTCGCTCATCAACAAAACCTTACTGGAGGCCCAACAAATCTTGAGAGAAACCGCAGGTTGTAGCTCCCATGGATTGGCTCTGTCTACCCTAACCATTGAGTATGATGTCAGCGTTATGGAGTCAGTTAAATATGCCAGTGGGCCTCTATTGGTTGAAATTGACAGGTAAATACCTCAAAAAAATACAAAGCAGAAGATATTTTGAGAATATTTTGAGAAATAATAAGAAAATTGGAAGAATGGGGAGAGGTAACATAGCCTTCCTTTTAAGAGTACATCTTTTTACCAATAATTTTTATTACATTTTAAGAAATACTATATATGTATAATGGTCAAAAAATTAACTATTGATGTTATTTCAGACAAGTAGAAGAAGATTTTGGTCTACTACTAACGAACTGCAGTTCACTATTGGACGCCCAGTCATCTCAAGATGATATCTTAGCAGTTGGTTTCTACGTAGATCGAATAGTACCTGCCAGTACCGCTGACAGATGTGGAGCACTGTCAATAGGTAATCTATGTTTTTTTTTGCTATATGAAACAGAGATACAATAATTAAAATACTATGAATCGCCATTTTATTTTCGTTTACAATATTACCTACTGATAGCGAAGTGTTATTGAGAGATTAACTAAATCTCACGAAAATAATGTAAACTTTCCCCTGATATGTTTGCTTGAAAAAGTAAAAATATAGTCTACCCAACGACAAGATCCTTGACAGTGATAGAGATGTCTGTCATTTTATTTTCAAAGTAGTTTATTTTATTTTACAAAGAAATAAGTTGGTACAATTGGAACGCATAGCAGAAAATTAATATATTTAAAATTTGATGGTGATTACTTCAAAATATTGTGAAAAAAACTTTATAAAATTAAGAAAATCTAATCGAGTTATTTTATTAAAAACAATTACAGTATGTGTTAATACAACACAAGCAAGGGTTTATTTTAAAAAGCACTATATATCAAAAAAAGGTATAAAAAGATTTCTTGCTCTCAGGCCGTGTTTCAAGCTCAAGCAACTTCCTGCATTTTTATTGTTACATTTATCAATATAATTATTCAATATGATTACACTGGGGAACAATTTGAAAAACAATTTCTGTTGAGTTCGATATTTAAGCTGTTTTATAAGTAAATTGACATGCTAATTCCAAAACTGTATTTAGTTTTTTCCTATCACGTCAAGTTTTTTCCCTACAGTTGTTGTGCATGCCACTACCCTTCGCAGGATTGAATGCGAATCACAGAAGTCACTTCTGCTCTCCTACCGGCGATTACGGTGAACCTTCTTCAACTTGGGGCGTGAGTGACGTTGCGTCATCCAAAACTAATTCGGAAGTATCTAGCCCCAGCAAGGAACTATTAAGCTTGACCAATCAGGTTGGTTAGCGTGGTTATTTGGAGGGTGTTTGTCAAAAACTCTAACGTGATTGGTCGGGCTTAATAGTTGCCTGCTGGGGTTAGACACAAGTAACTAGTTCGGTCAGTTACGCACTGGTTACGCAGGAGATGCTAAAGTACGCGGGTGTGTGTCGCTGTCATATAGTGAAGTAAAAGTCCGAAGTGGTTAAAAGTGGAGTCTATGTTTTTCTCTTTACATATGATAAACCGTATTTAGATTTTAGTTATACACAAACTACAGATTTTCGTTATGTCTGCCTCTGGTAGTTCTCGTCGTAAGTGTCTAAGCAGCCCTGTCAAATTGTTGAACAACTCTTGGAGAGCTTTAAAAAGCTTGCTTGCAACATGAGCATCAAAGTGCATTTTTTACATAGCCATCTTGCTAACTTCCCAGAAAATCTTGGTGCTGTTAGTGATGAACAAGGCGAGCGATTTCACCCAGATCTGAAGGTTATGGAGACGCGATATCAAGGCAAATGGGATGTTAGTATGATGGCTTACTACTGTTGGGGCATCAAGCGGGAATGCCCACAAATTGAACACTCCAGGAAAAGCTATAAGAGGAAATTTTTACCATAATATCTTTTTTTATTATTTTTTGTATAAACACAATTTAACTTTTAACATATTAACCTCTGTATGAATAAAATATTCTAATCTATTTGGTCAGATCTTACCTTATTTCCCTTTGTATGTGCACTTTTAAGGTAAAAGGAGGGATATGCTGTAGCTTAAGAACTTATTTTTAAATTCAGAGACCAAAAATTAGTCAAAAACAGATCACAGATCCAAGTCAACAAAATTGATGTTCCCTAGTGTTATTATTTACCTATCGTGTGCTGTTATTTTACTGATACTTCAGTTTTTGGTATCATATACAAGATAGTATACAAACTTTATTTGTGGCTAATACAACTCTCTGGCCATAATATCTGGCAAACTGTCTCTGGGCACCTGAGTGCAGGCCCATCGTGAGTGCACGGTCTATGTGGAATCCAAGGTAGTTGACTTGCTTTACTGGATTTATTATTATATCCTTAAAATTAAACCTTATATGGTCAACTTTTCTCTTGCGGCTCAGTAAAATCGCCTCTGTTTTTTCCACAGCTATTTCGAGTCTGTGCTCACGCATCCATCTGGCTATGATCTTTAGTGTATCATCCACAGTCTGCATTAGGTCGAGGTCGTTTATTTTTTTGTTTCTTTTAGTTTTTTTTGTTATTATCACAGCAAGATCATCGGCGTAACAGATCAACTCTGTCCCATCTGATACAGTAAGCTCCATGACACTGTCGTATAATATGTTCCACAAAGTTGGCCCCAGCACCGAGCCCTGTGGGACGCCACCGAATACCTCTCTTTCATCTTCTCTATTGAGAACTATAAATCTATTATCAAGATAGCTTTTTATTATGTTCACCAAATATCCACTTATGCCCCATCTTCTAAGTTCTTTAATAATTATTTCCCATGACACGCAATTAAATGCATTTTTAACGCCGACTAAAATCAAAGCATTATGCCAAGTGGCTTTTCTTTTCACGATATCCGATATTTTCTTACCCCACTAAAATTAATAACAAAGAATAATATCTAGATCATTAGAATATATTCTTATGTTTCATTCTAGGGGATCAAATTTTGGCCATTGACGAAATACCTTTGGACTCTTGGAACGGTAGTCCCGGTGATGCAGAGAAACTACTTCGCAGAGCTACCAAACTACAAGTACTACCCTACAATGCTATCCAAAAAGCTCAGAGTCGCAGCCAATTTGGAGGTTAGTAGTGTATATTTTTTTCAAAAACCGTATTTGTTTAGTATTGACTTTTTTCTACAGATGATAAGATATAAATATAAGTAAAGATAGTAAAAAAAAAAAGAAAGTAAAGATATAAATCAATTATTGATTTCTAGAACTTTTCAGTACTGCTTTCTACATATCCCAAGAAGCATTTTTTGTTTTATAAGTGTGTTAGGAAACTTCCCAACACACCATATTATACAACCTAAACGCATCCAGAATGGTTGTCGTGAGTTATTGGTAACCATTATATAACACTTATATGCCCTAAACGGTACCTTTTATAACTGTTCCTGTGATAATCCTCAACACTCAAGGTGTGCAACCAAAGTCCTGAAAACTTTCTCAACACCTTTATACTATATATCCTATCCAGTTACCGCTATAAAACTGAAAAAGGGTATATAATAGTTATATAGTGGTGGTGAGAAGGTTCCCAGAGACTAACTCCATAGAAATATCGCGCATGCGCGTTTTTTGAAAATATACTTGTTTCTTTCTGACTAACTACTTTAATATTTGCCTCTTTTTTAACATAAAAAGCAGATATAATCTTATTGCTCCAAGTTGTCCTACGCAGATAATCCAGACCAGAAACAAAAGAGACAAAATGACGCCATCCCTGTCATAGTCTACAAAAGCGTTTGCGTTATGCAAATGACTTTATAGAAATTACTGGCTTAGTAACATCTATTGCGCCTATCCAGAGTACTAAATACATATGCGATATTAAATTTACTGTGTGAAAATCAATTTTACCTCCAAAAAACACATGCGCCCCCAAAAGCAGAATTATTTAATAGATTTTTTTAGGAAAATAAAAACACTAAATCACCACAATACACCAAAACACTTTTACTTTTACACTGGACGCGCGTTTCGCTAACCATGTTAGCATCATCAGCAGATGATTATAAACTAAAGTACATATCTACAAGTTGAGCGTTTATATACTCGCTCAGTGGGCACCGAGTGGGCGTGGCAAAATCTGGCCAACCGAGTCAGAGCCAACTGAGCGTAACAGTTAGATTTCCGCCTCTAGAGTAGTAGGAACAAAGAACTTGAAGGAATTGGACCGTTGACTCTGTTCATACTATCTTTACATTTATTAATTCTGATGCTTTCATATGCATCTAATTGCCTGTTAGATTTTTTTATAAACAAAAAAAATATGGTAAAATTTTTGTAATGAAGTCAAGTTTATTAATCTAAATAATAGAACATACGACTTTTTAATACATAGACATAACTGGCAACTGGCCAAAATATTGTTTTGTACCAGTTTTCAACGTTATCTTAGAAATACTCATTGTAGCCAAAAATGAAGACATCAACAATAATGGTGTCCATTATATTTAAAGTGCTATATATTACTTTAGGGTCTATAACATACTCATCAACCATTATATAAATTTGGTTAAGGTTGCGTAAATGAGTTTGGGTTATGTAAAACACCAATTTTAGTGTTTTATACAACTAAAGGTGATACAAATCACCATTATAAATGCCGGGGTGCTTATGGCTACTTTTAGTCACCCAGAAAACCTTTATGTAACCCGAGGTGTCGACTGTAGCGACTCCCTGCGAACGAGGTTTGACATTACAGCAATTTGACAGAAAATGTGCAGAAAACAAAACATAACCTCATAAAATTGAAATAATACTGTTTTGGTCCAATTTGATCTATATTTAAAGTGGTAGAAGTTTTCAAGAGTTCTAGGGTCCTTTGGTACTTTGGTACAACAGTTATGAATGAATTGACTATAGAAAAAAGCTCTTTAAGTGCAGAATGTAATGTTAAAGCGCAAAGCTCATTCTCTTATGTTATGCATTCTTTAATGCCTTAACCAGGCATCTTCCTGTTCCTGGTCGTTTTGGCAACTTTCTGTTGGAAATATCTCAGGTTGATCCTGATCTCTGCTTGTAGACGGTAAATTTGCATGTTGACTTTCAATATTGGTAGATGTAGTTTGAGTGAGGTTTGGATTATTCCTATTTTTTTTAAACTCTGAAGAACCTTCCTTTTGAACGTAGATGTATTTTTGTGTTTTGTCCAGTTTATTTTTTTTATTATTTATTATTATACCGAATTGTTTTGCCTGCTAATATATTATTTGTTTTGATTATATTAAAAATTTGAGGTTATGTCATTAGGTTTGATATTCGGCAACTACAGGTTATATAAAGCATACAACCATTTGAAAGGTGCAAAAAAAAACGATTTGAGGGAACAATTATATAACTTGTAATGTTATTGGTTACATAATGGTTTTAATAACACCTTTAATTATATAGTGTATATCTTGCGTACCTTTGTAACACCTAATACCAGAAGTTATATAAAATAGATGTGAACACCTTTATAAAACCGTACTATAAAACCTTTAGTAACAAGAACCTCTAGTTTTATAAGGAAAGTGATAAACAACATTTTAAGGTTACTATTAGTGATAAGTGACCAACCGCTACACTTATATATATATATATATATATATCAAAACACTGTACGATACCAATGAGACATTTATTAAACCTTTATATAACTAACCTTGAGGATATATAACCTAAAGGAACTTAAAATGTTACTTGGGATTGAACATTGATTTTCTACACATGATTAAAATAAGTAAAAAAGTTTGTATAAATGTATGTCCTAAAATGCTTAGTTTCGGAGATACAGGGTGTAGAAGTTTCATTTTTATTTCGATTTTTTCCAAATAATTTTTAAAGTAACGCCAATATTTGGATGAAAATTGGTGTCTGGGAGTTTTTTGACATGATAAATTTGAGTTTGATGTCAATATGACTCCTATTTTTAAGGGGCGCCACCTACATGTGTTTTAACTGGTTAGAAGAGTTATAATTTTTAATCGGTACCTGTATAAAACTACTGAGTGAAAAAATGTACATTTCCGTGATTTTTTACGTAAAAAATGTCTCTTGGTAAAAATCGCGACGAGCAACCGTTCTCAAAACAATGCTCAGCCTCAGCAAGGTGCAAAGACTTGCTTGTCTGAGCATAACAGGGGCGATGAAATCAACGCCCACTGCATCAATGGAGGCGCTTCTGGACCTTCCGCCTCTTCACATAGTGATCCAGGCGGAGGCAAGAATGGGACTCTATCGACAACAAAGTGTCTTGTCTCTGGGAAATAGGACAGAAACAGGACACTCAAAGATGGGAAATCCTATCGGAGGACCTCTACTCCAAATAAGATCGGACCAAATGACCCCTCTTTATCACTATCACAAACCATTCGAGGTGAACAAAATGGATCGAGGAATGTGGACAGATATAACATTCCTTCAGGATGGACTAACCTGGTATACAGACGGGTCAAAGACCGCTGAAGGAACAGGAGCTGGAGTATTTCGGGAAAGACCAAGGGTAAGTTTATCGTTTTCCTTGGGTAAAGACTCAACCGTATTCCAGACAGAAATCTTCGCCATTCTACGATGTGCGAAAGAAAACAATAGAAGAGCTTATTCAGATAAGCTCATCAATATATGCTCAAACAGACAGGCGGCACTTGGGGCGCTTATGAGCCCAAAGGTATCGTCGAGACTCGTCTGGGAATGCCTAGGTGAACTGGAAGCTATGGCTCGACGGAACAGAATTAAATTATTCTAGGTGCCGGGCCACAGCGGCATCCAAGGCAACGAAAAAGCCGATGAGCTAGCTAGGCAAGGATCATCGGCATCTTATCTTGGTCCAGAGCCAGTACTGGGAATACCCAAATGTATGGCCCGTAGTGCACTAAAACTCTGGATCAGGAAAAAGCAGAATGTCCACTGGAGAAACCGACACGGGCACAGGCACAGCAAGGCTTTTATCCAAGGACCTAGCTCCAAAACCGCAAAAGAACTGCTAATGCTTAGCAGGAATAAATTGCGGATTACAACAGTCCTCTTGACAGGACATATGGCTGTCAAGTGTTACCTGAACAAGCTCAATCTGTATCAAGGAAGTCTTTGCTGCAGACTTTGCGCTAAAGATCCTGAAACAGCGGAGCACATAATATGTCACTGCGAGGCTCTGGTCGCAAGCGACACTTTTATTTGGGAAAGCTAGGCTAGAACCGGAGGAACTATGCTCCCATCCTATCAAGGACCTGCATAAGTTAGTGCAGGGCACAGGGATAGGAGAATGGGTGCAGATATAGAAAGGGGACAAACACAATAGACCTCACAGGTCGCAGTGTTTCCGGCAGAGGACGGCCCCTTATTGTGGAAAAAAAAAAACCGTTCTCAAGATATTTAGAATGGAAATAGTCAATACATATGTCATTATTGACAAAAAAATAAACACGTTGAGTAGATAATTGTTTGGCTGAAATAATAAATTTGGGAAATTTTTATTTTTTTAAATTAATCATAAATTCTTCTGCGAAAAAATGATGATAAAACAGTTTCTATTGTACTTTTGACATAAAAAACATTTCAAATTTATGATTTCAGTCTGATAACTATTTAGCCAACATGTTTAATGTATGTCAATGATGACAGGTATTGATAATTTTGATTCCAAATATCTCGAGAACCATTACTCGTAGATATTTTTACCAAGAGACCTTCTATACGTAAAAAACGTCGTACATGTATATTGTTTAAACGTTATACGGACAAAGTTATTAGTCTTCAAACCAGTTAAAAAATATGTAGGTGACGCCCTCTACAAGTAGGAATCATATTGACCTCAAAATCAAATTTCTCGTGTCAAAAAACTTCCAGATCCCAATTTTTATGCAAATATTGACGCTACTTCAGAAATTATTTGGAAAAAATCGAAATAAAAATGAAACTTCTACGCCGTGTAATATGCTGCCGAAGTTTCCGGAATACAGTTCGGACCACCCTGTATATTTGGCTTCACTTTCCACTCATTGTGTAAATGCGGCACTAGCAATATATTCTTATAATATATTTGCTTTGAACTAAAAAGCCGTAGAAACAAGTCGCATTGTGATCCGATTCAT